TATATATATATATATATATATATATATATATATATATATATATATATATATATATATATATATATATATATATATATATATATATATATATTTTAAGAGAGATGTAACATAAGGTGTTCACTCCTATGTCAGTGTAAGATAAGGTTTTCACCCCTGCCCCTATATATAACATGAGATGTTACTCCTATATCAGTGTTAGATAAGGTTTTCACCCCTGCCCCTATATGTAACATAAGGTTTAAATTAACTTGAAAATATTACGTCACTTCCTCTGTCATTAAACATTGCGTCTTTATTTTTGCCTCTATATGTAACATACCCCTATATGTAACATCACCTTACCACCTCATATGAAAATACTTGAAAATTAACGATTCGAATAAGAAATGAATATTGGTGATTGAAAGAATAAAGAAATAATTTGAAGAATGATAATCTCAATCAATAATACAACGAAATAAAATTAAACCTAAAAGTTAAAAAATATATAATATAATTTTATGAATAGCTTGGTAAAATTTTCGGAAAGTTTAGATAAAGATTCAGTGATGCGCAAATTAACCTCGAAATTAACTATAGAGGGCACTCAGAGACTGCATACCACCACCGCCAGCGAATTAAGTTATGTAGCTATATCATGCATAAATTATGCAGTACATGAGCTATTTATATACGCATTCAGTTTACTCTGAATGGCAAAACAAGACAAACATTCGCTAATTTCTCATCCAAGTTTCATCCAAATCCAAAAGTTATCCAGTTTGTCCTTGGATAATGTCATCAGTCCCAAAAATGTTCGTATTGATACATTTGATATTATTGAAGTTATCGTGCTAGCAGGCAAACAGACAGGCGCGCATACAAACGCAATGAAACATATCATTAACCATGGATGGACGGAGGTAATAAGCAACATTTTAATCGGAATTGCGGCATGAGAAACGTAGCATTTAGGGCATTCATCACATAAAACAGTTACAATTGTTCATTGTACTCTCGGGTGCTACATCATGATTCATATAATTAGTGAATTAATAAATTTATCTAAATGATATATTTGATTCCCACCACCAAGTACAATTTTATTTTATTTTATTATATAGCCTCGACTGTGTATTATTGACGAATGGAACTGCATAACGGACAATGATACTTGTAAATAACCATGCACAATTCTCAGGATTTGTCTCATACAATACATAAGTTTGATAGAAAATTCAATATGTAGAATACGTAATCAGCTTCTATCTAAACTATATTCTAGTGACGTACTTGAGTAACCAGTTAACTGATTAAGTAACTAATATTTTTGCCATGTTTATGTGTTTGAATGAGAAAATTAATGGTGTGGTTTAATATGATATATATAACGTTTATAACTAACTATATAAGCAGATCCGAAAAATTGGCTATAGTGCTGTAATGTGCTTGTAAAAAACTTCCGAAGTCGTTGGAAGACGTCGACTCGTAACATATATTCCCACTTTAGCATGTCTCCAAAGAGGACTGAAGCTTTTATTGAGTGTCAAGTTTGGCTAAACTGCTTTAGCCGAAATTGCACTGTTTTTTCTTAATAAAACAAAATAACTTCTAATCGTTGAGTAATTTAAATTTGGTCTTCAAATTAATTTGCTTTCCTTTAATTGTACTGCATAATTTAGTTATGCAAGGTCCAAAATATCCATGCAAGATGAAATACCAACCAAAGAAAGCGTTAACGAAGTTTAAAATTCATCAATGATTGCGGGCGCATCACTATGGTTTATGGGAGCGAAGGGGTACCGCTGACCAGTATATACAGCGGTTGCGATAATGTGCGCATCTTGTCTATGATTTAGTGCCGACCCGGCCAACATGAGTGACTTCAAAGATGACCGAGTTATCGTACCATTTCCCTTAGAGTTCACTGTATGTATCGGGCATATCAGTATCTTACTCAGGGGACCCCTAACAGTAAGATTTTGTCAACTGTATTCTTCTGTAAATGGAACAAACATGATCAAAGTAGGGTATTAAGTAGGGTCTGCTAAAAAGGTTATTTCGTATTTTCTGCAAAATATTATCTAGCGGGGATGTGCCTGTTCTTTTTTCTCAAATTATGAATGAAACGTCGGTACAAAAATGTTAAAAAACTCCCATATAAAGTCGAGCATTTGAACCGCGCAAAAATTTTGTATCCAATAGACCTTGTAAACCTTTGAAGTTTTTGAAGCCGCGCATGTCGCCTCGCGCATACCCAGACCTCTCAACTCTCACGCATTCGGCGTGAGTCTCACGCAATTCGCTGCACTCTCACGCTCTCACGCCATGTTTAGTAAATCTCACGCATATAGCAGTTTCATAGTATTTTTTCAATAATATAATATTGTATTCTTAAATGCACATTTTAAATCATTATACGGATCGCGAGTCGAATATATAATCGCGTGTTATTGTTCCTGCATATACGGCCCGACATTTTGCCCGCAATTTGGATACAAAATAGTTCGCATATGTAAATATGGCGGACACAAAAGGCAGAATCAGTCCGAGCAGAATTCTATATGTAAATTATCAAAGGCAAGTTAAAGCTCAATTCTGTATGTCACAGAAATACAGTTATTGTAACTAAAGTGCCTTGTCTTAAAGGACGTTATGAAGCAATGTATTTCATTAAAAAACACCAACTCT